AAATGTATGTACAAAACACATTCACACAAGCACAAGCACAATAAACACTTGCTATATCAATTATTTTTTGCCTTCTTCCAATTTCAATTCATTTCTTTTACTTTTTAGATTATTCTCACTTTTAGCGTATTCTTTAATTTCCGTTAATTTAAAACAGTTGAGTTTGACACTTTTCAGGATTTTGCCAGAAAAAATTCTTCTGACTAAATCTGACTACTTCGGACTGATGAGAGTCACTCTCACTGACTGTTGCTCTCTCATTTTTGCTGTCATTTCCGAGTTAAGGAACGCTTTTTGGACTAAATCTGACTACTTCGGACTTTTTCTGACTATTTCTGGGAGATAAGGAACGCTCCTAATAACTCAAACATGTCGATTGGACGTCTGGATAAAAACTTCCAAATCTTGGGTATAAATGTACATACATGTAGTTCATATTTGTATGTATAAGCTAGGCAACTTTCAGCACACTAAGGTCAGTTTTCACGGCGAGGAGTTAACTCACATTCCGCAGTTAACTATAATTTTGTGTACTAAGAGTATAGTTAATTGCCGGTTGTGAGTTGACTCGTCACTATAAAAGGGGGACTAAGGCTGCTTTCATCACTCTATTGCACTGCAGTGTGTTGTGATATATGTAATTAATTAATTGTTTGTTTTATTCGATCTTCCTTGCAAAAACCTAAAATTTGTTTTATATAATTTATAGGTGCGCGAGAAAATAATTTTGAATGCAAATAAGAATAAGTTGTGGGAAAGAAATATAAATTCCTCATAAACTTGACCAATCCACCGAATTTTGCTAAAAGTAAGGCTCAGCATAGAATACGCAAAAATTTGCAAAAATGACGACCATCTCCACAATTCTCCAGCAACAACAACAGCAGCAGCAACATCATCAGCAGTCATCGCACTACCGGTCGCATTTGCACAATGGCGGTGTCCACAGTAGTCGCAGTAGCAGTGAAGTTAGTAGTGGTGGTGAGTCGCCACCGCAATTAACTGGANTCGCACTACCGGTCGCATTTGCACAATGGCGGTGTCCACAGTAGTCGCAGTAGCAGTGAAGTTAGTAGTGGTGGTGAGTCGCCACCGCAATTAACTGGATCGGACGCGCTCAACATGACGATGGCGGCAACAACCGCGGCAGTAACATTGCCACTCAAGCATCATCATCTCCAGCACCAACAACAATCAAGTATACCAGTCAACTCCACATTATCATCTGCNATTAACTGGATCGGACGCGCTCAACATGACGATGGCGGCAACAACCGCGGCAGTAACATCGCCACTCAAGCATCATCATCTCCAGCACCAACAACAATCAAGTATACCAGTCAACTCCACATTATCATCTGTCAACACAATAGCTTATAACACGCAGCAACAACACTCCACTATACAACATCATCATCAACAACATCACAATCACCACCAGCAACAGAACGACCACATTAAGCGGCCAATGAACGCATTCATGGTTTGGTCACGCGGACAGCGACGCAAAATGGCACAGGATAATCCAAAAATGCACAATTCAGAAATTTCGAAACGTTTGGGCGCCGAATGGAAATTACTCACCGAGGGGCAAAAGCGACCATTCATCGACGAAGCGAAACGTTTGCGGTGAGTGTCTAGTGATGTTTGCATATATATGTACATATGTACATACACACGTATTTAGTTATGTATATGTCGTATATGAATATCTACACAAGGCCCAAATATGTACATTCGTACAATACTTAGGTGGGGGAATCAGCGCTGATGGTGTTGATGAAGCGCTGATACTAATTTCGGGTTTAAAAGGTGGTGGTATGTACGTAGTAACTATTGTTCCTGGCCCCCCACGGAATCCCAACTACTCGCATTACTCACAACATACGTTAACACCCATTACAGTTAGATATAAAAACGCATAGGCAATTGTGTTAAATGTCCACACTCACACTTGCCTTGTGCATACATCAGTTGTATGCTTGCTATTTGGGTGCGTGCATAAGTATAAATACCTGATAGGTAAATATATGTACATTCCCTCTCAAGAACTTTTGGCACAATTTGCTGTGAAATTTTTCTAGGTTATCACTTGAAGTTATCCCTACCTATTCGTAATTAAATTAACGTTTGACCTTTGACATTAATAATTAAAATAAAAATAAAAGCTCTTAACGTTTTATACACCAGTTAACCCTCAAAACACCTTTTTCCATACGTTTGCTTATATTGTTTGCAATACTATTACCATGTTTATATGATGCTTCAATTCGTTCCAAGTCAAACCATGTTATTTGGACACACACATGTAAACGCATTTTTAAATCGAATTGAAACTTTTAACCGTGCCACCATTAGGGTTCGTACGATACTATCGATATTGAGTAGGTATCGATACTGAGGGTATAAAAATGAGTACTTTAATACTCGATACCTTATTTGGCGATTTTACTCGATACTTTCCAAAGTACTCGTAGTATCGAATACTTTTTAAAAAACACACTTTTTAAATTTTGTCTTCCATTGGCAACCCAATTTTCTTTGCTTATATGGATTACTATCATTCAATTTTGTCCATCACTTAAAATAAACTGAAATCTCGTGTAGTCTGTTACATAACATAAACCAAATAAGTTAAAGTTTAATGGCCTTATTCATAAAAAATAAAGTAGGCTTCAAGAGCTTAAATAAAATGACACTTTCATACATTCTTCAGTTTATAAACCTTTTTTATTTTTTATGAATAAGGCCATAAAACTTTACTTTAAACTATACTTTAAAGTTCACGAAAATACAGAATTTTTAGAAA